ATCCGTGGAAAACCTAAAGGTTTTTACTGAATTTATGGTAGAGCTTTTTATACAGAAGATGAGTTACAACTACACTAACAACCGTAATCCATCCTGTCTTCACTTTGAGTTAAGTATTACTACATTATATGTATCATGTAGGTGGAAATCTCATTCAGGATCAGAAGGTCCATCAGATTTTCTTTAAACTGTATTGTCTCTTTCCTGATGCACTGTGAATTGCTTACACACATAATATGACTCAATTTTGGTCATTACTGTAATATTTCCATTGGTTATCTCCAGTTGGGGAGGGTGAGGGGTGGAGGGGGCAGGGAGAGAAGGAAGTAGATTCTATGCCTTTGTTCTTGACTGAAGATGATGATGACTGAGTTAGAGAAGGTAAAATGAAATGGAGGTCTGTGGTAACCCCAACTGTTGCTACAAGAGCGGCCCCATTTCTTGTTCTTCCTTCTCTACAAGTGAAGTTCTCAGGCTTCTTAGAGTTTACAGCTTTCAACTTCTGTCCCATTCCATTCCATGCCATTCTTCACCGGAATTTTTGTCACTCCAGAACCTCTTCAGGACGGGCTGATAAACTTTTCTCTCCAATTCTTGTCTTCAGCCCATCAGATATGGTCTTTCAGCAATCTTGATGGAGTAGCCCTTCTCTTCTTTGCCCCCAACCATCCAAATTGCTTCTTGTGGTACCTCAGCAAAATCTTCATCCCCAGTCAGCATCTTCTGCTTTTTGAGTAGTCCGTAACTTAGGATCTTTCATCCTGGTTGTATCTATTGGATTCTCCCATTCCCCTGCCCCCCTCCACGCTCCTGCTGGGTGCTGGCATTCAGGGATGCCGTAGCCAGACAGATTTTCTCAGTGGGGCAAAAGGGGAACTTCAGTTGTTTCTGTGGCAAGGATTTTAAAAAGTCTGTAGTGTTGTATTGCAAGAGCTGGGAAATAACTATGTTGAGAGGCAAGGACAGAATGTGAAGCCCTGGAAATTCAGAGAAATCTGTAGGAACAGAGATACTATAAAAATGTTAAAACCAAGTAATTTTTAACTTGAAATAATTCTTTTACTTCAAAAAAAACCCCGCACAGTAGTAATCCCTGACAAAAGCCAAGCTTGCAAAGTTAACCTGAAATGTTATGGTAACTCAGTTCTGTAAGCTGTAGATGCAGGAGGGGCTGAAAATGATGTGTATGCTTGTGTGTGGTTGCTTCTTGACTCTTAAAAGAGGAAATTTATCTTTTATGATGATTTTGTCACTATCAAGAAAATGAACGCATAAACTTGAGATCCAGTCCAAATCAGAAAGCAGTCACTCATGGCTAAGAAAACATGGAAGTTCATAACTGTGTCAAGTATTATATTTCTTTCCTCCTTTCTTCATCTTCCTTTCTTGACTTTTCCTCATAGGCCCCTGTTTGTAATGCGTGTGTACTTCTGTAGCATTAGTGAACCCAAGAAAGTGCGTAAGTCATGTGCAGATTTGGGACCTCATATTTTAATTTCTCTAGGTCGTGATTAGTACAGTGCCAATGTTACTGCAGTTGTTGAATTACTTGTGTTATAATTGTGCATAGTGTTAATACATGGAATTTATTATAACAAAAAAACCCCTGTAGCCTGTACAGTCACACTATTATGGATTTTTAGGTTTCAACTAAGTCAGCATAGATATTTCATTATCTAGTCAATACATGCTGTCAGCTTTGGGTTTTCTGTGTGCTTAGGCTGAATCCATGGCATATTAGCATATACCGTGGTTAATAGTAACATTAGTTTTGAAGAGATGCATGTCCCTTCAATAGTGATGCTACTCAGTAGCAAAATTGAGAAATCCCCTGTCATCTTCCTCAGAGCTCCACTGAGCTTGCTCAGTCCAGCCAGGGAATTGTTTCTTGCGTTGATTTTTCTAATGCTGGAGAGCGGTCTGGGGAGCCGTCTTTATTTGGTGTCTTAAGCACATTCTAGCTCATGTAGAACCTGATTTGTTGGCAATTGCTGGAGTTTGGGGGAAATGTATCAGTAGTAGTGTGTGCTTGCTCTGTCCTTGTACCATTTTACCATTTTTATTCTAGGCATCCAGTAGTAGTTCCAGCCTGTGACTGTGGCTCAGCAAGGTGGAATTTTTGTCTGCCTAGTATAGAAGATCTTAATTTCATTATGCGTTTGGAAAGCTCTTGTTGTGCATACTATTTTCATCTGCCAACCTTCAGATAAACTGCATGCACTTCCCATGATCAGAGAGGTAGATCTGCTTGCTACTGCTAATGATGCAGCTACAGGAGATGATGCTGACATTGAGGTATAAGGACTAGGGTAGGAACATACATGCCTTTGGGGACTGAGAAAAGAGGAGGATATGGGGCTCTTTTGGCAGCAGCCAGAAGTTCAAACAGTCTAAACCACTTGCATCTCTGTACCCTTAACAGACTAAGAGTGAAATCCCTTGAGAAATCAGTGTCATCCTAAATTTGGAGGTCTCATTTCCTTCTCTGGTCTCTGGTTGCTAGTCAAACCTTTTGCTGAGCTTGCTCAATTTGCTTAACCCAGGAGGAAAACTGTCAGGTTTTTTTTTCTTTTTTTTCTTACTGTGTTAATTTCCTGATGTTTTGGTAAACCAAACTGGCTCATGGATTGTTTGAGCCTTACTGCTGGCAGAGATGTATGCTGGGGCAGTGGGGAGGAGTAGACCTCTCTTAGCAGTGGTCAGCTTTTTTGACTGTCATAAACCATCTGGTGTTACTTTGCTCTTCAGCTTGGGGAGCTGAAGTGGGGGAGAGAAAGTGAGTAGAAGAAAATAGATGAGGAAGTAAGTCATAATGGTATGGAAAAGGTAGTTAAGGAAGTGCCTTTTTTTTTTCTTTTTCCCCCTTCTTCTAGCTCAAGATTCTCTCAAGCCCTTTGAGCTCTTCTGGGTTTAGTCTGCAGCTTTAAAGTAATAAAGCTGTGTTTTTTACACAGGACACGCAAATTGTGGAATTGATTGTTAAGTGATGTGAAAGTCAAACGTGTAAAGGATTTTAAAAGGGCAGCAGCCACAGCCAGAAGCTGACCTGTTGTCTGTTAAACATTGATGGTTTAGTTTTGTTCTTCAGTGTTAAAAACTCCTTAACTTGATTTCTAGAGGCAGATATACCACAGGAAATGTCGCTTTAGACTTGGATTGTTTCTTTATACTCTCTCCCTAGTAGTTAACTACTGGCTGGCACTGGAGATAAGGTCCAGAATAATTGGATCGTATGTTTCTCCTTTTCATTTGAAAGACTGGCAGAAGCTAGAAAAATACCGTTATATTGTTTGGGTTATTTTTTCTCTGTTTCTGGGGCTGCTTCTTAGGGTCTGTGAAAAATAACTAAGGAAAACAAGCTTGTTGTCAGTAGATTTAAACCAGTTATGTAGGAGTCTTCACCTATGTGGAGTTCTGAAGGCTGAAAAGAGCTATTATAAACAGAGTCTTGAAATATGGAAATAAGCTAGTATTAGTTGTATACAGTTGCTTGTCAGTTTTTACTTATTTATCTTTGGATGTCTGAGGAGAGGAAGGACTTGAGAATTTTTGGTCAGTAGATTTATTTTAAAAGGGGGAAAACAAAAGGAAAATTGCAGTCACTAGTTGGTACCTTAATTATGTCCCAAATGCCTCTAATCAAAATCTCTCACATACTTCCTGATAGTCCACGGAACTGTAACACCTGCTAGAAAGCAGAATAAGATGTGGAAACTCTAACAAATGTATTAAAACCTGAAAATTCCTACAGATTTTGGATTTTTTAACATCTGACCCAATTGCAAAATATATTATCCCATTAATTTAGATTGTGGCTGTCTCTTTCTTTGAACTTTTAAATTACTTCTTACAGCAATTAATTAAAAAAAAAAAATCATTATCTTAATTTGAGGCCTTATCTTGAAACTTTAGGATAAAGACTGAAGTCTAGGGATAAAAACTTTATGACCAAATGCCATACTGAATTCATGTAGAAAATTAAAAGAACAGACCCACAATGACTTTGAAT